AGGGTAGGGCAGGGTGAAAGGTGGGTTGGTGTCGGAAGGGCCTTGGATGCCGGGCTAAGGAGCTGGGGCTTCCCTGTTGGCAGTGGGTACCACGTCAGCATTTGGGCAGGGGTGGTTTGGTAGACTTTGCACTCTCAGACGCTTACCCAGGCTGCTGTGTGCAGGATGGGTTGGAGTGGCAGGCAGAGAGACTGAGGTATGAGTTAAGACACCATCGGGGTGGCTAGGTGAGAGACCGCAGTGGCTGGGACTAAGGCGTCCTGATGGGTACGGGGGGTGGGATTGAGTTCCGGAGCCTTTTAGAAAGCAGATCTATGTGCACACTCGATGAGAAGGCAAACAAGGCAGAAGGGTGAGTTTCTGGATTCCTCCGTTAGGAGTTGGTGGGACGTGGGGCAGGGGAGCAGTGGCCAAGGTTGCCTTGGCACCCACTGACCATGCCATGCCAGGCCCATGCCAGGCCCCTCTGAGGCTCACCGACCTCACCTCGCTCCTGTGGCTTCTCTGGTCTTGAATGGCACAAGCCTCTTCCTGCCTCAGGGCCCTCACACTTTCTGTTTCCTCCGCCTCGACATTCAGCTTGGGCCTGCTCCACACATCCACGCCTTGGCCTTCAGGGCACACCTCGGTGAACGGGTCAGCCGTGGATCCTCTCACAGCACTGAGCATGTCTCATTCATGGGCTGGATCCCAAAGGTATAACGCGGTTCTGCCTAGCCACAGGCTCCTTGAGGGCATGCCCAAAGGCTTCGTCAGCACGGAGCTTAGCGCTCAGCGGCTCATTAAACTTTGTTGAACGAAGAGCTGCATTTTGAGTCAATGAATGAGGTGTATCTGGCTGCACGGACACCTGTAGTGGTGCCGTCCAGTAGCAATTGGAAACAGGAGATAGGCTCACACTTTGGTGGGATGAGAGGTGGGGGAGGCTGTTAGGATGAGGGACTCTAGGAGCTGTCTGAGGGAGGAGGAGGCCTCGCACAGGGTGGGTGGTCAGCAGTCAGCACTCGCCAGGCTGCCCTTGCTTCTACTCTGCTCTTTGAAGGGGGCAGAACCCAAGCTTCCTGTTCCCCAGCAGCAGCTAGAACCATAAGCAGCCGTTCCTGTCGCACTGAAGGAGATCCGAGGCGGGAGACAACCCCCTCCGCTCTCCTCCCTCCTTTCCTGACTCGGACCCGGGACACTGGCAGACAGGCTGAGGGATCAAAGGAGGCCCCGGAGCTTCCCCATGTGCCAGGGTGGGAGGCAGGCAAGGGCTGGACCTGCTCGGCTGGAGGCGCTCACACAGGTGCAGGAGGCCAGGAACAGAGCTGCGAGTCCCAGGGAAGGACTCTCTTTGCCCCAAGTCATCCAGCAACGAGACTGGTAGGTGGTGAGCTCCCCGTCGCTGGTGGATGGATGGCTTCTTGCTGGGGTTTCCGTAGGAAGGCCCCGGAAGAAGATGGCAGACTGCGTCTGAATGACCTTTGTCAAGTTCCTCTCCCGTAAGGAGATGACGTCCTGCTTTAGGACAGGAAATCTTCCTTAAATATTTGCTCGGCCAGGCTGAGCCGGGAAGGGATAGTTGCCACCTGCCTCGGGGCGTCTGTGGACAGATGGGGAGTGTGAAGGTTCCTGAGGAGTGGCAGGAGGCTCCACTGTCTGCTTCAGCCAAGGGCTGCTGGGGACCCCAGGCTGGGCTCAGTCGCAGCTCTGCGGCCTCCGTGGGTCTCTACATGTGACTGGCTGGCTGCCTAGTCCCTCCAAAGGGGCTGTTCTCGGACAGGAATCCTTCCCGGGATGGGGAGGCCGTGTGGCACAGCAGGTGAAGCCGTGGGCAGAGTGCTGGTTTGAGTCCTGATTAGAAGTCTCCACTTCCTATCCAGCTTCCTGCTAATGTACCCCGGGAGGCAGCGGATGATGCCTCTGGTGCTTGGACCCCTTTCAGCCCTGTAGGAGACCCCGACGGAGTTCCTGGCTCCTGGCTTCAGCCTGGCCCAGCTTTGGCTGTTGCAGGCATTTTTTTGGGGAAAAAAACAGCAGATAGAAGATTTTTTTGTTGCTCTTTCAAGTCGAAGGAAAAAAAATAAAAAGAATCCTTACCATCGACGCATTGAAGTGTTCTTATAACTTATCTAAGACTTGATATCTTTCAAAATAAGTGTTTTTTTTTTGTTTTGTTTTTAAGAAATAAACAAGCAAACTCATTGGGGCCAGAGTTGTGGCACAGTAAGTTGTCACCTGTAACACCAGGGTCTCATATGGGTGCTGGTTTGAGTCCCAGTTGCTCCACTTTCAACCCAGCTCTCTGCTAATATGCCTAGGAAAACAAGTCCAAGAGCTTGGGCCCCCGTCACCCATGTGGGAGACCTGGATGGAGTTCTAGGCTCCCAGCTTTAGCTTGGCCTAGCCCAGCCCAGGCCATTGCCGCAATTTGGGGATGTATTTACTTGAAAGGAGAGTTTCATAGAGAGAATGGGAGAGGCTGAGGCTGAAAGAGAGATCCTCCATCTGCTAGTTCACTCCCCAGATGGCAATAATGACCAAGGCTGGGCCAGGCCAAAGCCGAGAGCCAGGAGTTTCATCCTGGTCTCCCACATGGGTTCAGGGGCCCAAGTAATTGGGCCATCCTCCACTGTCTTCCCAGGTGCACTCTCAGGGAGCTGGATCAGAAGTGGAGCAGTCAGGACTTGAACCAGTGCCCATATGGGATGCTGACGATGCAGGTTCACCACAGCACCAGTCCTAGATAAACAAAATAAATCTTTTTAAAATAGGTACAAAAAGATCAGGTAAAAAGATAAAAATGATTTTAAAAAAACACTGAGATTTTTAAATTAAATAGTTCAGAGTAAAGCTTGGCGGTTTTATTTGTAAGTTCTCCTCAGGGAAATCTGACCTGCAGATAGAGCTGAAAATCACTCATCTAAATGAATTAGTGAAAGCAAATACAAGTAACATTTTTTCTTTTTATAAATCAAGTTATTTGAAATCAGATAACCAAATTATTCATATAGTGTATTAAGTATGGGGGAGTTTTAGATGTTAAATTTTCTTGAAAGGGATCCTGTCTGATTTAAATTATTAAAATGCAAACAAACACACAATACATGCCAAGCATGAGGGCGTTTTCCACTGGTTTATTTATTTTTTTTTAATCTTTTATTTTTTTTTTAATTTATTTTTTATTTTTGATAGGCAGAGTGGACAGTGAGAGAGACAGAGAGAGAAAGGTCTTCCTTTGCCGTTGGTTCACCCTCCAATGGCCGCTGCTGCAGCCGGCGCACCGCGCTGATCCGATGGCAGGAGCCAGGATCCAGGTGCTTTTCCTGGTCTCCCATGGGGTGCAGGGCCCAAGCAACTGGGCCATCCTCCACTGCACTCCCTGGCCATAGCAGAGAGCTGGCCTGGAAGAGGGGCAACCGGGACAGAATCTGGCGCCCCGACCGGGACTAGAACCCGGTGTGCCGGCGCCGCTAGGCGGAGGATTAGCCTATTGAGCCACGGCGCCGGCTTCCACTGGTTTATTTATTTATTTGTTTGAAAGACAGAGAGAGAGAGAGCTCGTATCTACTGCTTCACTCCTTTTTTTTTTATATTTTCTTCTCTGGACAGGCAGAGTGGACAGTGAGAGAGAGACAGAGAGAAAGGTCTTCCTTTGCCGCTGGTTCACCCTCCAATGGCCGCCGTGGCCGGCGCACCGCACTGATCCGAAGACAGGAGCCAGGTACTTCTCCTGGTCTCCCATGGGGTGCAGGGCCCAAGCACTTGGGCCATCCTCCACTGCACTTCCGGGCCATAGCAGAGAGCTGGCCTGGAAGAGGGGCAACCCGGACAGAATCCGGCGCCCTGACTGGGACTAGAACCTGGTGTGCCGGCGCCGCTAGGCGGAGGATTAGCCTGTTGAGCCACGGCGCTGGCCCTTCACTCCTCAAATGCCCACAACAGCCGGCACGGGCCTGGGTTGAAGCTGGGAGCTGGGACTTGAGCCAGGTCTCCCGTGTGGGTGGAAGGGACCCATTCACTTGAGCTATCGTCCCTGCTTCCTGGGATCTGCTCTAGCAGGAAGCTAGAATCAGAGCACTTGACGTGGGATGCAAGCATCAACCAGGCCAAATGTGTGCCCCATCTCCTTTTAATGTATTTTTATTTTGCCTTTGTTTTATCTGTTAGTTGTGCCTCTTTCATGGCACAAATATAAATAAATAAACAAAAGGACACTTTGTTTCCATTGACACCTCCTGCCTACTCTGCAAACTGCTCTCCTGCCTGCCCTCAGCTCACCGTGGCAGAGCCAGAATCATCACCTCCACGCTTTTTTCTTTTTTGAAGATTTATTTGTTTGTTTGAAAGGCAGAGTGACAGAGAGGGAGAGACAGAGACAGAGAAATCTGCCCTCCGCTTGTTCATTCCCCAAATGGCCACAACGGATACGCTGGGTCAGGCTGAAGTCAGGAGCCTGGAACTCCATCGGGGTCTCCCACGTGGGTGCAGGGGCCCAAGCACTTGGGCCATCTTCTACTGCTTTCCCAGGCCATTAGCAGGGAGCTGGATCAGAAGTGGAGCAGCCAGGACTCGAGCTGGTGCCCCTATGGGATGCTGGCACTGCAGGTAGTGCTGGACTACAACACCGACCCCAAACAGTGGCTTTTCTGAGGTCCCAAGGTCGGTTGGTGGAGGCCCAGGCAGAGGAACCCATGGTCTCAGGCCCCTCCTCTGCCTCCTGCCACCTTCCCCACCTTCCAGTCGCTGCTACTTTTTTTGTTTGTTTGTTTTTTGTTTGGTTTTGCCCTTTTCTCTCCCTTTCTCTTTTCCACTTTCTCTGCCTTGATCGCAGCTTTTCTCTTTCTGTTTCAACTTTCCTCTCCTCTGGCCTCAACCCACAGACTGGAGTCAGCTTTGCAAGTTCTCCAAACCTTTCCTCGCTGAGCAAATCTGCCCGCCCCACAAGCCACAGCACCGCAAACTTGGCGTCCTGTCTAGAGCGAGCCCTTTCCGGATGTCTGGGTCCAGGGATTAACTCGGGGTGACACTCTGGCCTCCATCTGGCCCCAGATAAGATAAGGGTGGGGATCAGCACTATAAACAGGCCCCCATCCATCCCCTGGCCCAGGTCCCAGGCAGCTCAGGCCACAGCAGCCAGCCCGGGATCAGCATGGCCGTCCGCCTGTGGTGGGTCACCCTGGCTTTGGCTGCCCTTCTTATTGTGGACGGGGGTGAGTGAGCAGAACCTGGATTCTCTGCAGCCTGGTGGCGGTGGTTGAAGTGGGGGTGGGGTTGGAGGCAGGGCTTGCAGCACGTGTGAGGCCACAGATTTCTGCACGTACTTTCATTCTGTATGTGCGCCCCCGGTCACAGTGGGGAAAGGGCTGGGATGGGGAGAAAGGACCTTGGAGTCACAACCTAACTCTAGCCCAGCGTTGCCCAAGTCCTTTCCCCTCTCGGGAGCTCGGTGTTTCCCGTTGTAAAGCAGGAGTTTGTCCCAGTTTGCAGCTGCACTGTGCAACTCCTGGGCTGGAGGTTGGGGAGGTGGAGGGAGCGGGTGGGTCACAGCTCTCAGGGGAGACAGGCGAGTGTGCCGGCTGCAGAGGGCAGGTACAGGTGCTCTGAGCTCTTGTTCTGCTCTAACAGCCATGGCATGGGGCCGAGGACAGCTGCAGGGGTGTATGGGAGGTGTTGCCAGGGCTGGGCCCACACACCTGGAGTGGGGCCTCCTTGGGTCGGGGCACCTCTGCAGTGTCGGACACTGTTCTGAGCCTTTGAGACACATCAGTGACCAAGACAGAAGAAGCGCTGTCCCGATGGAGCTTAAATCCCACAGGGTAGGGAAAACAGGAGTATACAGTAAATGACACAGGTACAATGTGTGTTAGTGTGCTGGAAGGCCAGAAAAGCTAAGGGGAAAATATCAGGCAGGGTGATGGGGTTGGGCGGGATTGCAATTTTATATCAGGGGTTGTCCCTCTGAGAGGCTACTGTCTTTATTGTTTGATTCTAATTTGTTTATTTGAAAGGACAAGCGACAGAGAGAGAGGAAGAGGCAGATGGACAAGAGATCTTCCATCTGTTAGTTCCTTCACCCAAACGCCCACAACAGCTAACACTGGGTTAGGCTGAAGTCAGGGTCCAGGGATTCAATCCAGGTCTCCCATGTGGGTGGCAGGGACCCAACTACTTGGGCCATCACCTGCTGCTTCTCAGGGTGGGCATCAGCAGGAAGCTGGAACTGGAAGTGGAGCCAGGACTTGAATCCAGGCACTTTGATATGGGATGCAGGTATTCTAAGCAGTGTCTTTTTGGAAAAAAAAAAAAATTTATTTGAAAGTCAGAGAGAGAAGAAGAAGCAGAGACAGAGAGGTCTTCTGTCTGGCCACGTGGGGCCAGAAGCAGAGGAGCCCCGAGGAGCTCAGGTTCACAGGGAGGCAGGGGCAACCCCGTGCCTGGGACAGCTGTGGGGGCATGAAGGAAGCCAAGTCAGGAGCCCATGGGAAACGGTGGAAGGCTCCCCTGGGAGGTGGCAGCTGAGCCAGGAAAGGAGGGGAGGTCCATAGGAGGAGAACCGGGATAAGAACAGGCAGGGGGAATGGCATGGGCCAAAGCAGAGCTGGCCCCAGGGACAGAGAGCAGACGGGAACACTTCCCAGGGCAAGGAGAGGTGTACCGGGAAGTGAGCCCAAGAAGCGTGTTCAGGGCCAGCTCGTGTGGCCGGAGGCTGAGGGGTCGTGACAGGAGCCGTGGGACCACTTGATTATTTTTAGTACTTTCTTTTCCCCTTTCCATTCTATACCATGAAACACACAAACCTTACCATGCAGTGCGTATCATCAATGCCTACACCTGTGTAGCCTAAATCCCTATCAAGACCCAGGACATCAGCCCGGAAATCTTCCCCCGTGCCAGCCGATCCCTGCCCCCACCACACCACACAGAGGGAGCCGAGCGATGCTGCTCCCTGCCAGCGGCAGCCACCACACTAAGCTTCTCTACCACAGACTCGGCTTCTCTAGAATTTCCCGTAAATGGACTCCCAGCCCATGGAGCCTGTGGTGTCCGTTTCCTTTGGCTCAGCAAAATGTTTTGGGAGGTTCAGCCACATTGTTGTGTCTCCGGTGCTTGTCTGTATTGCTGGGTCATACCCCATGGTGTGACAGTGTCACAGGTTGTGTGTCCATTCTCCTGATGGAGGCTCCTTGGGTCCTTTCCAGCTTTGGCAGTTAGGACGTGGAAGGGCTGTTGAGCAGCGTGGAGACGAAGCTAGATTTGCACGTGCAGGTCCCATCTTTTGCCTTCAATGGCAAGGCAGTGACTGAGTCTCCATTCCTGGCTTGGGAATCTCCAGGAAAAGGTGAAGCCACCTTGCCTTGTCCACCCCAGCGACAGGGCGCTCTCTACAGGAGGCAGCAAAACTCCCACGGAGAGAGAACCCTGCTGCTCCGGGAGGCGGACAAGAGCACGTGAGAGGGCCCCCGGGACAGCCCTGTGGAGGCTCAGCACCCAGCCCGACTCCTGCAGTCTCCTAGGCTCCCTTCCTCCCGCCCGTGCTGAGTCGCGGCTCCACCTCCTGCACCGCCCATCACACTCAGCACTCACATGGCCATCTGCTTGTATCCTTCGCATACCAGGGGCCAACCGTGTGTGTGGAAAGAGCCAGACCCTGGCGAGATGGGGCTGTGGGCAGACCCTGGCTCTGATCTCACCGTGTGGCCCATTGCCTCATTAAGCCCTTTTCATAGCGTGGTGGAAAGCCTGGGGAAGCAGACTTTCAGACGTGCACCCGTCCACTGGGGCGCGTTCCTGGGAGAAACGCCCACGGGGGCTGACGGGGGCTGCCTGCGATGTGGCAGAGGCTGCGGAGGCTCCTGAGCCAGCTGTGGAACAGGGTGGCCTTCGGCACTGCACCAGAAACAAAGGGGCTGGGACCCTTGTAGCCGCCGCAGCACATCACTCAACAGGAGCTGTTCTGGGGTGGGGGCGGGGTACAGCCTTCAGTTCTCTGAGGGTAATTTCTAGGAAGGGACCACTGTGAGCAGTGAAATGATGCCAGAGGGTCCCTGGAGGCAGGCTCTGGAGGGCCAACCACAGCACCCACTGCTGCTCCGTTCTCTCTGTGGCATAGAAGAGAAAGGCGTGGAGAGAAGTTAAAACCGGGGCTTCTCAATGCCCGAAACACAGCACGTGCAGAATTGTTATTACTACCAAATTAAATGGGACACACAATTCCAGTGGGAACGAAGGAGAAACAGGCCGGACGGTCGCCTCCTTCAATCCAGCTTTCTGCCTCTGTTCACATAAGCTTTCTGTCTGCCAACTCACTACCTTGCCCTGAGGAATTCCACGTTGGGTGGTGGCTGGGCCAGGCACCCCAAAGTAGGAGAAGCAGTCTTCTAGGGCCTAGGCCGGCGGCGGCGGCGCCTGACCTCGCTGCTTTGTCTTTCAGAAGTGCCCGTGGCAGCCGGCAAGATTGTTTTCTCAAGAATGGTAAGGCAGCTGCTCGTGCCCTGGGCTTCCCACGGCGGGGAGGAGTCCCCTCCTCTGTGCTGGGAAGCCAGCGCTCTTCCGTTCCCTCCTCCTGCCTGCATGCCTTCCGTGGCTCCTGGGAGGCCCGGGCAGCATCCTGAGCCTGCACATTCCCCCAGATTAGCCCCTGTAAGCCAAGCACCATGCAAATCCCAAGCATGGCTTCCCTGCCCAGCCTCAGCAGGACACAAGGCATTCTCTGCTTTGCGTGCTACAGACAGACAGACCTTAGGGTTCAGACCAAAGAAGTGACCTTGGCCCCATGGAGGGTGCCAGCCTCTCCCAACCACATCTCGCCGTGCATCCCTTCACTCTGAGCCTGCAAGCACCAAGTTGTCTCTGATTCCACCTTGGCCTTGAGTCTAATGTCCCCAGTGATCCCAAGGCAGTGGAACTGGCAAGCTTTAGACCCTCAAGCCACCCCTTCAAATAGGACCAGCAAGGCTACAAGCTGCCCTCACTTCCAGTAGCCTCAGCGTCTGTCTTCCCCACCAGTTCTCATCTAGTGCCAGACAAAGAAACAAACCGTTTATATCCCATACTCCAATCAACACAGGCAAGGGGACCACTGTTATTGTTTATTTGACAGGCAGCAATAAACACACACACAGAGACAGAGAGACAGAGACATCTTTCATCCACTGATTTACCCTTCAAATGCCTGCAACAGCTGGGGTTGGGCAAGGCCAAAGCCAGGAGCACAATCCAGGTCTCCCACATGGAGTTGGCAGGGACCCAACTACTTGAGTTATTACCTGATGCCTTCAAGGGTGCACCTTGGCAGGAAGCTGGAATGGGGAGTGGAGCAGAGACTCGAACCTAGGCTCTCCAGTGTGGGATGCAGCCCTCCCAAGCAGCATCTTAACCTCTATACCACATGGCTGCCCTCCACTATTATTATTTACAGTTTGCAACAGCGGAGGGCACTTGAGACTCAGAGACTAGAACTAGCTCGCCCCAGCTGGTCAGTGGTGTCTCAGGTCTCGAGAGGCCAGGCCCGCACTGCTGTGCTGCACTGCTGCCCTCACCCTGTCCCTGTCCCAGGTCCCAACCATAGTCTGGACTCAGTTCTGACCCTGGCCTCAAGCCTGGCCTGAAACCCTGCCAGGCTGAGCCCCAAACCCTGCCCGGTGTCTCCAGCCTTCCCGCACCGGGCAGCCTTTCTGCCCAGGCCCTGATGGATCATGGAGGCCAGGGGGAGTTCAGGTGCCTCCTGGGAAGGGTGGGCTCTGTCTCACAGAGACCAGCAACCCAGGTTCTGGTTAGACTCCCAGAACTGGTCCCCGGGTGCCTGAGGGCACAGACATTGCACACATACAGATGTGAGTGCAGGCACACCCTCGGGCAGCTGGACCCCTGGGGCGTAGCAGACACAGGCACACACTAACACACACACACGATCATATCCGCACACACAGGCACATGCCGAGGGGCCCTGAGTGGCTCGTGTCATGTTCACTGGACCCACACCGGGGCCCTCTTGACCCAAGCAGATCCCTGCGCCCCTCCCCGCTGCCCCTGAACCTGCCTCCCTTCCCTTCCTGTCCCCCACAGCCCATCTGTGAGCACATGGCAGAGCCTCCAGATTGTCCCAAGACGTCCAACCTCGTCTGCGGCACAGACGGGGTCACCTACAACAACGAGTGCCATCTCTGCTTGACCCGGATGTAAGTCCCCGCCCCCTCCCTGGGCTTGCCTGGGTGGGTGGGTCCCACCCCTGGCACATGCACCTCTGAGTGGCAATGCGTTTGCCCCCAGCAGGAGCAGTGCAGATGTAACTCAAACGAGGCATGTGCTCCCAAGCAGAGAGCCAGGAGCCATGGTGGGTGGTGGCACAGGGCAGAAACCTTGGGTTCACTTCCTTGTTCTTCCCCTGAACAACTGACCTCACTTGTCCTCGCATTCCTCCAGCCAGCAATGATTTACTGAGCACTTACTATGTGAACCCTTAGGAACAGACCACAAGTTCAACAGCATCGCTGGCCTCCTGCAGCAGGCACTTAGTCTAAGGGGGCAGCCAGGCTGAGGGCCAGCCAATGAGAGCGCCGCATGCTAAAGGCTCCAGTGGGGCACACAGGTGGCCACAGGAACAGGGAAGGAGCAAGGGCAGGAAAGACTGCCCAGAGGAGGAAACACCTGGGCTCAGCTCTGACAGCTACGTCGAGATCAGCTGGGAAAGGAAAGACCAACGATCATTTCATGTAGAAGAAAGGCATCTTAGAAAGGTCTAGAAGACAAAGTTTGGATTTGGGGAAATATAAAGTTGGACAGGCCGGAGTCTAAGGTTTAGGGGAGAACAAAGGAGAGGCGAGATCTGAATCCAGAGAGGTGAGCAGACTGGAACATGACCTTGGCACCTGAGATCAACTATTTGGCCTCAGTTTCTTCGCCAGTAAAGCCCCTGGAGTCAGCCACAGGTCATGGAAGAGAAGAGTCCTTGGGAGGGGCAAAGCTGACAGGTGCCCAAGAAACCCGAGCTGCAGGAAACAGGAGGAGGCAGACATTGTCCTAGCTTAGAAAAGCGTCCCAGTAGTGACAGCCTCGTGGTTTGGAGACACAGTAGGGGGAGAACTGACAGGCTCAGGGTGGACTGGCTGTGGAGGGTTAGGGGAAGGCGGAGGCTGGAGCTACGCGCTGGTTTCCAACCAGTGGGCTTGGGTGCCGGTAGTGCGGCAGACAGAGGTGGAGCCACTGGGGCACCCAGGTGGAGATACGCAGTGGGCAACTGTGAACAGGCAGGACGGGCGCCGGGCTGGAGACTGGTTTGGCAGCTGCAGAGGCGGATGCAGTCCCAGGCAGCTGAAATCCCCTAGGAAGAGGGTGTGCAAGCCGGGGGGGGGGGGGGGTGCTCCAGGAGGATGTGCCCAGGGACTCCAGGGTCTGCCCCGCGTCCCTACACTGGGGTGGGGGGGGGCAGGTTTGGCAGGGCCAGATGCCTGAAGGGTATATGACAGCTCCCACACCTCTGTCTCCTGTGATCCTAGAATAACCAAACGGGACATCCAGATTGTAAAGGATGGCAGATGCTGACACCACACGAGCACCTCGAGCCACGAAGCTCCAGGCTGGAGAGCAGTGGTGGACAGAGAGAGGAGGTGACATGGTGACATGAAATAAAAAGATGCAGCTCAGCCGGCACAGTGGGACAACGTCTTTGTGGGGGGCGGGCTCTTGCACTGTCCTCCCTACACGGCTTCTGATCTACTCTCCATCGCTCTGGGTCTGCTCAACCCCGTCGTGTGCGCCCGTCCCTGACCCCAGTGCTCCTGTCTGCCGCAGCCCGGCCTGTCCACTCAGCCAAGGGCCTCCGTGTGATCTACACCCTCTGCCCCTGCCAGGCTCAGAAAGCCAGGGCCCTCTTGGCTTCCTCCTGAGCTGTGCCGGCAGCACGCTGAGGGGCCCAAGCATAGAGGGAGATGCAGGCAGTGTCCACGGCACAGCTGAACCGCTAATTCTCACACTGCAGCAGGTCTGTAATGGTTGAAAACAGGTGCTTGCCCCAAGCCGTCTCAGTGCCCCCCTGCATCCTGGCCACCCGGATTGCTCCCCAGAAACCCCTAGCCTGCCCATGGTCCAGCGCTTAGGGTTAATTCCTGGCACAGCAAGACGGTGTGCAGACCCTGTTCTGCTCCTTTGGGCAACATCCGTTCTGTTTGATATTCTGAAGGAAGACATGTCCCCAGACACAGGCACTCACATGGGGCCCGCAGGCCTGCACGGCGCTCGGCAGAGACCCCAGCCTGTGGCGCACATCCAGTACCCTCTTTTGGCCAAAGGCCACAGGAGGAGCCTCTCGATAACAGTGCCGGGGAAAGGAGTGGAGAGAGAGGGCAGGCCAGGTCGGGGCGGTTTTGCATGGATTCAGATTCCTGCTCTGAGAGCGGGAAGAAGGAACAGCAGGTTGTGTGTGGGAAAACACCCAACTTCTGAAAGTGGGGCCAGGCAGGCAACAGCTGGCATTCCCTGGGCCACCGAAGGGGGAACACTGGGCAGAAATTGTCACTAAGTCACAGGTAGCAGAGACTGGGAATTATCAATAAGCCCTTCTGCCCTTATTAATAAACTTGCTTCCCACCTGCATAGGATGTTTGACTAAGTTTGGCTCTAAGATATAGAAAGCCCAAAATAACACTGGAGAATTACTTCTCATGCATCGACCTATGTAGTGACTCATCAGGGCTGGTGTGAGACGCCATGCTCCTTTGACATTATCACTGTCATCCTCATCAATTTCCGCCTCTAGGTCTAAGATAGTTGCTCCTATTCCAGCCATCAAGTCTACATTCCAGGCCGCAGAAAGGTGGGAAAGGTACACCACCTGGCTTGAAAGATACTTCCCACAAGATTATGCATGGTCTTCAAAAAGCTCATGAAACGTGTATTATGAAAAAAATATGCATGGATTTCAAAAAAATTTTTGTTCTGACTTATCTTTTAACTCCACTTTCCATCAGTTTTGTTTGTTTGTTTTTGAAAGGCAGAGTTAGAGGGAGAAAGAGAGAGAGATCTTCCATCTGCTGGTTCACTACCCAAGTGGCCACAACAATTGGGGCTGGGCCAGGCCATAGCCAGGAGTTCTTCCAGGTCCCCCATGCAGGTGCAGGGGCCCAAGCTCTTGGGCCATCCTCAGTTGCACATTAGCAGGGACCTGGATCCAGAAACAGAACAACTGGGACTCAAGCTGGTGACCATATGGATGCCAGCACAGCGCCGGCTCCTCCATCACCTTTTAGAAGTAGCCTCGTCCAGCGCCGTGGCTCAATGGGCTAATCCTCCGCCTTGCGGCGCCGGCACACCGGGTTCTAGTCCCAGTCGGGGCGCCGGATTCTGTCCCAGTTGCCCCTCTTCCAGGCCAGCTCTCTGCTATGGCCCGGGAGTACAGTGGTGGATGGCCCAAGTGCTTGGGCTCTGCACCCCATGGGAGACCAGAAGCACCTGGCTCCTGCCTTCGGATCAGCATGGTGCGCTAGTCGCAGTGCGCTGGCCGCGGCGGCCATTGGAGGGTGAACCAACGGCAAAGGAAGACCTTTCTCTCTGTCTCTCTCTCTCACTGTCCACTCTGCTTGTCAAAAAAAAAAAAAAAAAAAAAAAAAAAAAGTAGCCTTGTGATACTGTTTACATCCCATTGGCTCAGTCCGCTGGTCACGTTGGGGCAGAGACTGAGAAACACAGTTTCTCTCTGGTCAATCATGCATTAAACTAAAAGTTAGAGATCACTTATTGTAGGAGAAAGTGGAAACTGGAGACATCTAAGTCTCTGCCCTGGACCAGCGCTGCGGTACAGTGGGTTAAGCAGCTGCTTGTGACGACAGCAACCCTTATGGGTGTCGGTTCAAGTCCTGGCTGCTCTGCTTCCGATTCAGCTCCTTGCTAATATTCCTGGGAAGGCAATAGATCATGTGTTTTTGGCTTGGCCCAGTCCTAGCTTTTGGGGTCATTTAGGGAGTGAAGCAGCAGATGGAAGCTCTCTCTCTGCCTTTCAAAAAATAAGAAAGAAAGAAAAAGGAAGGAAGGAAGGAAGGAAGGAAGGAAGGAAGGAAGGAAGGAAGGAAGGAAGGAAGGGAAGAAGGAAGAAGAAGAAGGAAAGAAGGAAAGAAAGAAGGAAGGAAGGAAATCAATTTTAAAAAGAAAAAAAAAAAGATTCTTCCCCAGGTTTTTCACATTGTAAGTAAGACAACAGAGGCAGTCCGTGTCTGGTAGTAAAACTGTTGGCTGTGTGACAGCCATGTTCCTTGCTTTGTGGAAGAAAGGAGACTGGGAGTGAGGTGGACATGCAGAGAAGACATAGGGAGAGGAATTTGGGGCAGTGTTTGTGTTCCTAAAGCCCACCTGCCCTTGACCTTCCCAAAATTCCATGGGTAACTTGACATCTTGCCTACGGATTTTCTCCATTGCCCAATGTCTTTAGAATTAGGTTTCTGGTACTTTCAAACAAGAGTCCTGAGTAGCACATGGAGGACTTCTCAGAAGAGGTGATCTTGAAGTGTGCCTTGAAGGATGCATAGAAATCGTTGACTCAGTAGGCAACATGTGTGAGAATTCTATTGCTGAGGCTGAAGGATCAGTTACAGGGCCCACACGTGCCCACTTGCTGCCCCTACAGCAGGTCTGCCCATGTGCCTGGAGAGTGGGCATCCGAGGAGAGGCGTTCACTCCCTGCTCCCAGGCAGGGCTACCCATGGAGGAGCAGGTCTGTGTGAGCAGGGCCTGTGTGTACAGCCACAGGCCCTAATCGCTGTCCCCACTGACCAGCAGGCCATACCTGTGGCCTCTTTTTTGTCAACCTTTAAATAAGAATAATGTCTATTAATGATGTGAACTCCATTGCCGACAGAGCTTCTGTAGCCCAGTGCAGTCATGGAAATTTCAATATTGATATATGCATTAAACATCCATTCGTTCTCCAAACATTTCCTGAGGACTTACTATATGCCAGCCAACATGCTTGAAACACTGCCATTAACAAGACACAGAAGCTCCTTAATCCAGGGAACTCAGTCTACTGTTGAAGGCAAATGCTAATCAGATAAGCCCTCAAGATAAGTAGGAGAGGAGCTGTCTAAACTGAGGCAGCCACATGTGCCCCCAGGCAGGACAGGGCTCAGGGCATCTAAGGACCTGCAGCAAGACAGCAGTGGGGACAGTAGCACAGTAGTGAGCAAACAGGAGAGGCATGGAGATGAAATGGGAGAAGGCATGAGCTAAGGACTTTCACCTTCACCCCAAGACAAATGAGGGGCCTTGGTGGTTTCTAATCAAGGGACTGACCCACACTTTATGATCGTTCCAACTGCTCCACGGAGAATGAACTGGAGGGGGTGAGAGGAGGAAAAAAGAGCAACAAGGAGATAAATGGAGCGCGAGAGAGGAGCTAAGAGAATGAAATGTACAACCCCACTTTGGTTCAGAGGAAGCACAGTACAGGTTATGTGAGGATTAATTAATTATTTAGGGCCAACGTTGTGATGCAGCAGTTTAAACTGCCATGTGTGACATGGGCACCCCATACATGCACCAGTTCAGGTGCCAGCTGCTCTATTTCTTATCCAGTTCCCTGCTAATGTGCCTGGGAAAATGGCAGGAGATGGCCTCAGTCACCCTAACAGGGGAAACTTGGATGGAGTTCTAGGTTCCTGGCTTCAGCAGGCTCCTGGCTTCAGCCTTGCCCAGCCCTGGTCACTGCAGCCATTTGGGAAGTAAACCAGCGTATGGAAGCGCACTCTCTCTCTCCTTCTATGTGTAACTGCCTTTCAAATAAAATACACCTCTTTTTAAATATATGGAGAACTAGAACATGTCTAGCAAACAGTAACTTCTCATTAAATGCCATAGCCCAAAGCCACACACACAAAGATAACTAGGGGCCAAAGTTGTGGTACAGTGAGCTAAGCTGCTGCCTGCTATGTTGGATCCCATATCAGAGTGACAGTTTGAGCCCTGGGTGTTCTACTTCTGATCCAGCTTCCTGCTGGTATGGGTAGGAAAGCAGTGGAAGGTGTCCCAAATCCTTGGGCACATGTCTCACATATGAGAGACCCAAATGGGGCTCCAGGCTCCTGGCCTTGGCCTGGACCAGCCCTGGCCTCTGCAGCCATTTGGGGAGTGAACCAGCAGTTGGAAGATCTGTATCTCCCTTTCTCTATTTTACTTTATTTAAAAAAATTATTTATTTGTAAGGCAGAGTTACAGAGATAGATATCAATCTTCCATCCACAGGTTCACTTCCCAAATGACCACAACATTCAGGGCTTTGCCCAGCTGAAGCCAGGGGCCAGGAGCTTTTTCCAGGTCTCCCATGTGGGGTGCAGGGCCAAGCACTTGGGCCATCTTCTACCGCTTGCCCAGGCAATTAGCATGGAGCTGGATTGGAAGTGGAGCAGCCAAGACTTGAACCAGCACTCATAGGAGATGCCAGTGTCACAGGAAGTGGCTTTACCTGCTATGCCACAATGTTAGCCCCTTTGACTTTCAAATAAATTAATACATCTTTTTAAAAAGATAGAATTAGTGGGGGCTAGTGCTGTGGCATAGTGGGTAAAGCCACCACCTGCAGTGCTGGCATCCCATATGGACGCCGGTTTGAGCCCCAGCTGCTCCACTTCGATCCAGCTCTCTACTACGACCTGGCAAA